CTCTGACCCTTCTAGAGAATAGCAATTTGCACAGGTCCTAAGCCTTCTGTTCTGGGGCACAATTGTTTGTAGCACACCACTTCATCTGGTGGCTATTTGCATATATCCAGTATGACTGTCAACACCTTCTTCATGTGCCACAGAGTCTGTGTGGAGGTCTGCTATGCCCTACGAAGGGCAGCTAGCCATTACCATGTGTGGCTTTAAGTATTTTCCAGTATATTCTAATGACTTGATGTTGAGGGTGTTGATCTACGGGAGAAAAAAAAAACAGCCAGTTATTTTACCAGTAAAATGGGTTTATTCAGGAATAGCAGAGGGATTGCAATTTGGGAAATGTGAACATATGGTGGGCCATAAGGCAACTGCAGAGTGCAGAGGAGAAGAACTTGCTTCTGTAGAGGAAAGAGAAGAAGGGAGGGGCTGTTTTGAGCAAGACTTTGCTGGAGAAGAGCCAGAGTCCAGGGCGGGGAATGCTTCTCCTTGGTGGGGCTGGTGCTCACCCAGCTACTGCTGGATCCTTCCTTGGAGCAGTAAAGCCAGCCACTTCCTGTCGGGAGTGCAGGCATACGCTCCTTCCTATTGGAGCATGCAATGAAGAGGCTAGCTTGCGAATGATGCCCAGTGGAAATGCATGAGAGCGCCCTCTACAGGCCTTCCCAACTCTCATTTTAGTTGCAGTTTCTTTGATTTATACAAGGGTTTGAAGTATTGTCTTCTCATCATAGTGATGTTTCAACCTCCAAAGAACTATTTCCCCCTTCATAGTGATAAAGCAGATTTCAAAAATTGGTAAAAAGAAGTGTTAGATTTTTCTCTTGGATCAGCTCATTCTGTGAATGTAGGTGCATCATGTCTTGCCCAAAACATAATCATTAGAACTAGCTGATATGGGTTCCTTAGATTAAAAGGTTTACTATTTCACCGAGAAAAAAACTAATCTTGAACTTTAAGGGGACTGGAGATGACGACACAGCGGTGAAGTTTTAAAGTCATTGATTATTTCATGAACTGAAAAGATGTTATTCCTCTGGAAAATATATATATATATGCAAGCAAAGAAAACAGTTTTGAAGAGAAATTAATACATGAAAGGTTATAAGATGTAAAACACGTTTTCTTTTGAGCACATGTCAAGTAATTTCTTAGCAGCAGTGCAGGGTATGTTTGACATCATTTTCAATCAATCATTCATTCATTCATTATGTTTTTCTAGTGTGCATTAAATACAGAACATAGGATTGTTGCCTCCTGTGTGTCACAGCCACTGTAGTACCTCCCTTGGGAGCGCTAGTGACATCCGGATCAATCAAAGCAGGTTGATTCCTGGCCTCACATCTACCTGGTCTGCTGTGAACAGGGCTTCCCTCGATAGGTTCAGATCCAACTTCTGTTATTTACATGACTGATTGCTGAGACAGTGAAAAATACAGCCGCATCCCTCTTCCCTATGGTGGTCCTCCCTTTGTTCGGTGGGATGTTCACATTTTCACATTTGGTAAAATCAAGCCTCTTCTTCCTACTCACTCCAACACTAGATAAAATGACAGTGTCACACACAGAGAACAGAACACTCCTTTGATTGCTTCAACAGTCTTTTTTTGGCTTTATTTTCCTCCTCTCTACTGAGTCTTCGAGTCCAAATTTAGTGGTGATGACTAAGAAATTGCCAGGATGTGACAGCATCCAGTTCATTGAGTCCTTCCTTGCCACTTTCCAATAGTTGTAACAATTGCCAAGTTTTTCCTCCTAATGTTGTAGGTGCCAGTGTCTTTGTAGTATCTGCTATTCCTAACAGATACTAAATCACACATGCAGGATCTGTCCATTCAGTGACAACCTCCTTCTACATACAACTGATTTCATCATATGGTACTAGGGAAATTCCCTGCAGACTTTTTACTGGTTAAGACTTCTGAATCCTGGCATTTCTGGTAATTAAATCTGAATCAGTGAAATTCAAATCTTATGAACAATGATTGAGTGGTCGGCCATGTGCTAGGCAATATGACCAGACATTTATGAGGGTGGAAGATGGATTCAGAAATAACTCAGAAAAGTTCCCTGCCATCTGGACTCAACCACGCATGTGCCCAAGTCACGGGGCCAAGCTAGCCATATAGGCCATGTGTATGGGAGCACAAACATGAGTGTGATCGGGTCTGCCTGATAACTGGGAGAGACTCTGCATGATTCCAGAGGCAGTCATACTTGAGCTAGGCCTGAGTAATGAGAGGAAAACCAATGGGTGGGGAGATCATCCAACAATGACATTCGAAACAAAGGAAACAGAGGCCATCTCTATGAGCACAAAAGCACATGTGATTCTATTGTGGAGGATGAGACTGAAGCCATGACAGTGACTGAATTTTGGGGAATTGTAAAAGCCACATCAAACTGTCTTTACTATTGGCAAGGGGAAACCATCAAACATCCTCAAGGAAGAAAACTTTGTTTTAGGAAGCAAATTTGCTAGCAGAAGGGGAGAGACCAGTGAGGAGGTTATTATATCAGGCCGGTGAAAGGGTAATGAGGGGGCAAATTGGAGCAATGGCAATGGGAATAGAAGATAAAGCTCATGGACTGGAGAGCATGAGCATGAACTTGAGGGTCCTCTGAGGTCTTAAGTGTGAGCAGTTCCCGGATGGTGGACTCTGGTTACCAGAACAGAGAAATAGTGGTTAGAGGAACGCGTTGGTGCTTCACGTACTAGTCTTCCTTTTTTTCCTGTTTTGAATTTCTGCCCATCCTCCAGGCTTATCTAAAATAATACCCTCCCCAGTCTGCCAATCAGAAGGCAGTGGGACTTCCGCTCTTCTCATACAGCACCTCCCTTTCTGTAGTTAGGGTAGCACAGCTTGTGTCCAGGCCACTGGGTGCATGTCTGACTCCTGCAGATGCATGCTGAGCTTGCTGAGGCTACAGCTTATTCACCTGTGAATGCTTAATACCACCCAAGCAAGTAATGGATCATTGGAAATGTGTATTAGATGAATGAATGAATGAATGAATGAATGCTCTATCACACAAAACATTAAATGCAGCCCTTTGGGGGGGATCTTCCTCAGACCACACAAATATCCCATTTCATCACATTGTAGTCAGTCATACACTATGTTTATGTGGCTCAAGAGTATCACTCACCTTGATCGAATGTTACCATATTTATTTTGAAATGCTTTCTGACTTTTGTGAAAATAAAATCCACTCTGCCAGGATGAATTTTGCTTTTCCCAAGAGATGATTTAATTCCCAAGGAATTTCAGCAGCATTCTATGCAATTGGCTCATCCCAAGAGGAAATGTGGATTATTTTTTTGTAGGCACACCTTGGCTTTCCCAACGACAAGAACCTGCTGTAGAGGAGTTTTCACAGCCCATAATATTAATAGAACACTTTGGTTCCTACCATGTGAAAGTGGCTTAGAAGTACATTTCTCCTTGAGTAGGCTGGATTCGTGTGAATCATCTGAGGATCTATCAAGTGTGCCCCTAGGCTGAAATAATCCCCAAAGATGACTGCAGTCCTTATACTCTGGAGGCCACTTGGTGAAATTGCTGAGTGAAACCAATTCTGTGAATTCCTAGAAAAAAATGTAAAGGGGATATTCCCTTGTTTAACTTTCAAAGAAAGGGTTCCTCATAAGGAATGTGCTGGAGTGAAACTTCAGGTCTCTTGCTCAGGCAGTCTCCATGCTTAGTGTGCATTGCTCACAGGCATCTGTAACTTGAAAATGAAGCAAGTGGGGCCACAGAGACATTGTTCAGAAAAGACCAGCGTGCAGAAATTTCACAGTATTTCAGGAGTAAGTCCTAGTAGACTCTCAGCAAACTAGCAAAACGCTAACGGCTTCCTGGGTGCTGTGTCACGTGTAGCCCAGCATTTTCCTCATTTTCTTCTACTCCCATGGCCCGTGGCCCCTCTGCGCCTCTAGATTACTAGAGATTAAAATCTGCACTTCATTTCATTTGACTTACAAATGACCATTTTTCTTTCTTTCTTTTTTTTCTTTTTTTTGTGGGACCCTCGCTGGCAGCCCGGGGAACGAACCGGCGCTGCAGAGGCTGCGGGCAGCCTCGCAGCCCAGCGCTCAACCACTGCGCCAACAGGGGAGGCCCCAAATGACCATTTGTAATGCACACACACACAACCTGGAAGAAGGTTTTATGTTTTTGTTTTTTCTTAGAACAGTGTGTTAGGTGAGAAACCCTGCATTTCTGTGGGTAAGTCCAAAGAAAACATGGCCAAGTGAGTGGCAGAAAATTACATTCCAGGGTTCAAAATCCCCTAGGCTGTTCGCTCATGTCTGCTTGTAGAATTACTGTAAATTCCTTGCTTCTGTATTGATTTGTTTGTAAATGTTACTGTAAGGCAAGGTTGGGGTAAGGAAGGATTTTTTTTTTTAAGTCAAGGTCCAATGCTCTTAAAAAAAATCAATTTAGTTTACCTAAAAGTAAAAAGGTCGCCTTTCCTTGTAGCAGCCTTTTAGAAATACAGGCAGCCAGCTTTGTGACAGGGTGACACAGGTTTCAGCCTTGGGCAGATGACAAATATGGGCTATAGTAACTGGAGAATCTATGAAAGATAAGTGTAAGGACCAAATGTTTATTTTCTCATATTTCATCCTGAAGGGAACAAAGCACCCCATGACAGCTTTATGTTTCTCTTCCATCTTTGGCCCTCTTATTTGTCCGATATATTACACTTGTGTGTCTGGTTTCAATTTTTTCTATTACCTTACTACAAAGACAGCTAATCATTAATTAGTCATACTTGCACTTATGTTTTTTTTTTTTTTAGGATCATGTGAAATGTTAACATGTAGTCTTCTTTTCCCATGATAATATTTTGTACTAATAATAAAAAACAAAAACAGTAGTCAGACCAGCTTTTGCAAAGAATGTCCTAAAATCCTGAAGGGCAATGATTCTCCATGAATGATTCTCCATGAAATTCATAGTTATAAATATTGATCTTTTGTTTACTTACTTTTCTTGCAGGAACATTTCACACCTGAGTGCAAATTCAAAGAATCGGTGTTTGAAAATTATTATGTGACATATTCATCGATGATATACCGTCAACAGCAATCAGGCCGAGGGTGGTATCTGGGGCTGAATAAAGAAGGAGAGATCATGAAAGGAAACCATGTGAAGAAGAACAAGCCTGCAGCCCACTTTCTGCCCAAACCACTAAAAGGTAACCTCAGTATTCTAGCAGCTGTGGACTTAATGACTATGCATGCTTATATCAGTCCTTTATCATGTTTCTGAAAGTGGAACAGAATTCTCCATATCAAGGCATTGACAGAAAAAATTTATAACATTTACAACATTCATTAACACGAAAGCACCGACAATAGCATCTAATCTCCTGGATTTAATCTTTCAAAAGCATATCTACACATAGCAGCCCTGGACGGGCCAGTAGCTTAACTGCTAAGTCAGTACAGCTAAAAAGCCCAAATTATGCCAAAATGGTCCCTGGGCAGTCACACAGATTCTAAAATTTATGCACATGTAACACTCATCAGAAAGTTCCTTGGCCCTCTCGAAGGTCCAACAACACTGTCCACATATTTTCGATGGAGAATTTTGGTTTCCGGTCATTACTGGCAGGTTAAAAAACATGAGGGAGAGGAATGAACTGTAGAAGACAGGGATGTTGGCAGTGAGTCATGGTAGAGAAGGGACAGAAAATACAGGCAAAGCAGATCCGAGACCTTCAAGAGGTTGCCAATCTGGGGCTGGGATAGGGCTTGGGAGTCGGGGCAGAAGACCTGACCCATTCAGCACAGCGCTACTGTGCAGCCCTGCAGCCAGACAAGCTGGCTTCAATTCCCAGCTTCACCCCACTGTGCAATGGTCTAGGGCCAATTATTTAGCTCTGTCTACCTCAGGATCTTCCTCTGCTGATGTTGGATGAGTCCACTTGTGCCACAGGGTGTTTATGTGGATTAAGGGAGATAATGCATGTGAAGCACTCAGGACAGTGTCTACCGTGTTGTAAGTGCTTGATAAGCATCCGCTCATACCATTACTTACCATACAACACAATAATACTCACCATTGATTGCATCAAGAATTGCGCTGAAACTTCGATTCTTGAGATTCTCGTTTTGAAGAATGATAGAAATCAGTGTTTTAAATGTTACTATTTGGCTTGCACAGCCTGTCATGTTTAAGCTGTAAATCATATTTAAACATTGAAGAGCTTTGTTAAATACATGTTTCACTAATCCTCTCGTACATGGAACCATAAGTGGTGGAAATTAGGCATTAGGATCCTTTACACACTGCTGGGCCAAGACTACCTTTTGCTTAATCTGATCCAATCCACTTTCTATGGAGTCCTTGTAAAGCAGCGTTTTTCATGTGTGTCTGAAGGCATGGAAACCCAGTAACCAGGGCCAGAGGCCAATGCCCATGTGAACCTTTTTACACCATATTTCTGTGCTTTTCAGTGGCCATGTACAAGGAGCCGTCGCTGCATGATCTCACGGAGTTCTCCCGATCTGGAAGCGGAACCCCAACCAAGAGCAGAAGCGTCTCCGGCGTGCTGAATGGAGGCAAATCCATGAGCCACAATGAATCAACGTAGCCAGTGAGGGCAAAACAAGGGCTCTGTAACAGAACCTTACCTCCAGGTGCTGTTGAATTCTTCTAGCAGTCCTTCACCCAAAAGTTCAAATTTGTCAACGACGTTTACCAAACAAACAGGCAGAGTCCACTATTCTCTCTGCCATTAAACCTTCTTATCACCATACTAAAGTCCCACCCTTTACATTGAGCTTGTGCAAAAGAATGCCAAGCATGATCAGTGAACTAAATCTGGGGGAAGGACTGCCCAATTTTCTCATGATCTCACCTGAGTTGGGGGGGGTGACTAACCAAAAACATTTCACAGCACTCACGCTGATCAAAATTTGCTCTCGACCCAAGAAAATGTAAAAGACCACAATTGCTCTTCAACAACAAAACACAAAACCCCACACAATGAACTGCTTCAATGTTTTGTAGGGGCAAACACAATGATGTGAACCGTGCTGTTTTCTTGGCTTCATGTTTTCTACCTACGCTTGATTTAGTTGTTTTCTCTCCATTGGTATAGTGCAACTTTATGATTTCTGAAACTCAATGGTTCTACTGACTCTCTGTCACTTAATCCAAACCAACCAAATTCAGGGTTGAATCTGAATTGGCATCTCAGGCTCAAGGTAACAGTGTTCTTGTGATTTTACCGACCTTTTCTTTTTAGACTCGTAGTACCCTGGTCAAGTTCTTGTGCCGTACTTTGTGCGTAGAAATTGAGTTCTCTTGTCAACCCCAGTCCATAAAGATTACTTAAAGAAAAAGATTCTCCTCAAGTGTAGATTTCTCTTAATTCCATCTGTGTTATCATGTTAAACTATTGTGGCTTCCTGTGTAAAGACAGAAACTGTGGAACTGTGATGTTGTCTTTTGTGTTGTTCAAATAAGAAATGTCTTTATCTGTGTACGTATGAGTCCTCCTGTCGTTGTATATGGCTCGTGAATATCGTGTACAAGGAAATGTTAAGACTGGTTACCCCTAAACAACATATACTTATACTTGCTTCTGGAAAAGTGTTTAAGACTTAGCTAGGTTTCCATTTAGAACTTCATATCTGTTGCATGGAAGAAAGTTGGAATCTTGGCATAGAGTTGCATGATATGTACGATTTTGTGCATTAATAATTGTTAAAATCTGTGTTCCAAAAGTGGACATAGTGTGTACAGGCAGTTTTCTGTCCTGAACACAAAAAAAGTTAAAAAAAGTTGTTTAATATTTGTTGTTGTATACCCAAATACGCACCGAATAAACTCTTTATATTCATTCAAAGAATGATCTTCAACATGTATTTATTGAGTGACTACTACATGTTATTTTCTGTTACAGAAACTGGAGTTAAATAATGAATCATAGAGATAAGGTCACTGACCTCCCAAAATCTACAATCTAGAGAGTCCTATTATACAAATGAGACCTCTGCCATTCATAGTCATTTCCCCTTTCTGATGCTTATTTCTCTTGGTACAGGGAAGACACAGGACTAAATACCAAAATATCTAAATCTAACTCTAAATATCTAAGGATCCCACTTCCAAGGAAATGTCAACATTTTTAATGTCCATGACTTTTCAGTAGCTCCCCAAAGCTGCTGTTGCCTGGCAACTCAAGCTTTTCTGGAATAGTCAATACATGAAGGGCAAGAAAGGAGGAAAAGGTAAAACAAATTGGCTGGTACTTTTTGGGGCATCAGTCAAATGAAGTTACTGTGGCCCCAAGCAGCATGCAAAGGAAAGCTTCAACATCCCTACGCTTCAGCTGGGACTTCAAATCCAGCCCAGCCTAGTCCAATCAGCTTGTGATTCCACTTAAACCCTTATCCTGTCTCGTCCTACCTGAGCTGTAAAGTTTACTTACATGCGCTGAGGCTGCCTGCCTAAGTTGGACTCTGGAGCCTTTGCACCATGAACCACGAGTAGCCACACTCAACCTCCAGCCCGTAAGTCTTTCTTACTCACTTTTGAACAGAGACATAAGTGCATTGTCTCCCTTTTGCTCCAAGGACTTTAAGTTTTGGTTACGGACTATTTTGGTTGCTGCTTTGTTTTTCTTTGTTCAGAAATCATGAAGCTCTGCCGGCAGTAAACAAATCAGTCCACTGGTGTCTCAGGGAAGCTTGGCATAAATAAGAAGAGGTTAAAGTACACAGGAAGGGCCTCCCCTGGTGGCGCAGCGGTTGAGCGCTGGGCTGCGAAGCTGCCCGCAGCCTCTGCAGCGCCAGTTCGATCCCCGGCCACTGGCAAGGGTCCCACATGGCGGGCAGACCTCTCCTGCCATGCCCGCTGCTCCCCTCAGCAGTGTATTTCTTTGTCAGTCTGCCTGTTCTGTTCCCTGCTCTGGTGAATTCTCTTACCCTCCTGTGCTTCTGACTGTACCCAGTGCTTTTATAAATAAATAAATAAATGTTTAAAAAAATAATAAAATACACAGGAAGAACCCTTTGCATTTAACAAAAGGTGGTGTTTAAATAGAGTGATAATTAAATCGTTCCCAAAAAACCTCCCTACAAAGGGTGATACTCACAGGTGTCTTCACTCACACTTAATATGGCTCATAGTAGAAAATCCCCTGCCACCTGCTTGATTAAAGACAAGATTCTGTAGTCAGATAGTTTGGGGAAACACTGCAAGGACTCTTGGTGCCCAGTATTAGTGCACGTCAGAAATACCTGGAGGTCTTATACTGCTCCGATTGTTGGCTCTCCCCTGCAGAGCTTCTGATTAAGTAGGACTGAGGTGGGCTCAAAATTTTGAGTTTCTTTTCTATGTATCTATTCCCTTTTTTCTGGTTCATCAACTCTAGCTGACCTATCTGAACAATTCATATTCATTCTCTCTCTCTCTCTCTCTCTCTCTCTCTCTCCCGCCCCCCCTCTTCTCTTCCTCCATCCCCTCCCCCTTATTTCATTAGTGAGGTAGCATGGGTTTACCACACTATATAATTTAGGGGGAAAGGTTCACACCTCCTCAGAGGTATGTCACTACCCCACCCCTACCACCAAGGTACCCATAATCCTCCACCACAGTCCATTGGGCCCCCACCCCTCCTTGCTCTCCACTCTCCAGTAGCCTCAGTTTCACAGATTTCTAGAGTTTGTTTTGCTTTAGTTTTGTCTGCTCCTTTGGTTTAGAAAACTGGATTTCTAACAAGTTCTCAGGTAAGGTTCAGCCTGCTGGTCTTGGGGAACCACATTTTGAAAACCACTGGCATACAGTATTCCCTTCTTTGGGATTCAGATTGTGGAATAGTACATCACATTCTAAAATGCCCTGTGTTAAGGAAGCCCACTTAACTTTGAGAAATACTGACAGACTATAGTTCCACCAAGCACCTGTGAACACCACAGGAGAGTGGTAATCCTCGAGCCTTTGGGGAGCATCTGAATCACCTGAGGCACTTAGTTGGCTTACATGGTTTGGGACTGGATCCAGGAATCAGATGAACTTGATGTCCACCACAACTTGAGGACCCTTGCTTTATAGCATAGCCGTTGATCTCGTTGGCACACTCCCTGTGAACGTATATCCAGTCTTTGCATTGTATTGATCCTAGGGGACAAAATGGGGAAAAACCACTTTCTTCAAGCTACTTGCAAAACAAACACCAACTCCCCCCACGCCAGGAGTTAGATTTGTTCCTGGAGAGAACACACACTCATCACTTAGAGCCACGGATTCCTTACAGGATGGAGAGGGGCGGTGATCTGTAGCACCCATCCTACCCCCCTCACCAGCACATTGCCCCAGTCCTAAGCTGGTCGAGTTCACCAATGAATGTTTGAAAGACCCCAGCTACATGTTTCCAAATTTTCTAGGCATCTATTGTCCAAGTGAACACAGGGAAGTAATGAGTAACAATATCTCTCCGTCTGCACCCTTTGATTGTATGTGTGGTTTGGGTAAGAGGGAAATAGAATCAGAACTGGTAACTTATGAACACATGTCATCCAAATGCTCCTTAGAAGCCTCACTTAGCTGCAGTGTGCCATTCGTGGGTTAAGTGGAAATGTGCCCTCACTGGCATATCCATTTTTCCACCAACAGACTTTTCTAGGCTCTTCCTAACATGCTTCTCCAAATTTTTCCAACCACTATTCAAAGACATTTCCACTTTCAGGTATTGATACGAGCAGCACTGCACCTGCCAGCACCAAATCCATACAAAGGAATGACAGTGCTGAAGGAGGACACTTTCCAGTCACAAATACAAGGGGAGGACGGTTGCTAGGACAGGCCACTGGTACCCCAGATTGTTCGCCATATTTTACAATGACAAATTTTCATACTTCTTATCACTCCCCCCTGGAAAGATGTGGTCTTGGTCTTGGTGCAATTAGCAGTCCTGAATGGAAACACCTGTGCTGGCTTCTGCCAACACAGGTGTGCCCTCCCCTAATAGAATGCTACACGTATAGAATATTCCGCAGGGTGTGGCTCGAAGTCTGGGTTTCTCTTTAGCTCCAGTGGAGAAAAATCCATATATAGAAGAAACAGCATTGTGGTGTCACTCTTTTCTGGACTATCATGTCTTGGACCTTTTGAGTCTCCAGACACTGTGCTGCTATTTAGAGGTTAGGTTGAGTGTTCTGCACAGAGAACAACAAGCTATGCTAGATCAATCAGCCCTTTTGCTAACATACGTATCTGGTACTTCTGGCTTCACATTTAAGGAAAAATGCAGGGAAGTACATGGTATCATTTGAGGAGTGTTGCCATTTCTATGTGGGCATTTTTGAAGATGTTTGTAACAGCTTTGACTCATCATGTTGGAAGTCTTTCTAGAACATACTATGTGGATGATTTTCAGTATCAGATTTCTGGACTAAGTAACAAGGACCAAATATGGTACTTGTATTCATTTGTGTTTCAAGTGCGGCCTCTCTATCGCTTCACATACCCGCACACACCTAGCCTCCCGGAAGGGGTGGGGAGGTGCTCTGTTCCCCTGGACAGGAACATTCATCTCTTCAGAAGGGAGACTGGAATGGCCATGTTCAGGGACTCTCTAGCCTCTGAAGCTGTCCTGCCAGCTCTAACACGTCTGTACACTAAGTGTGTCGCTCAGCTTTGTCCCCACGTTAGCACATTTTGTACTCTAAATAATCGTGCAGATTCTTAAAATAATTTGTTTTCAACTCTATAAAGTTAACAGTTAAAATAAGAGAAATGGAAATGTACCCAGGGTGATGATTGAGTAAAAGCTCAGCTCCTTGGAGTCAATCGCTCAGCTTGTTGGCTCAGTGGATATTTATTACCTTATAAGCTGTCAGTGCTGCACAGCACGCTGCTGAGGCCTGGATAAAGCATTCACGCAAGGACAAATGGATTGAGATTGAGTCAATCTTGCAGGAAAAGAGATATTCTGGGGTTTAGCAACAGGGATATTTTCTTTCCTTACTGGGATTAATAAAGTGGAACAGCAATTGGAAATAACTGTTCAGTTATATGTAAACCTCTCTGTCACTAATACCCTGTATTACCCTTGTACAAACTGGATGATTATAACCCAAGCATTCTTCTTTAAAACTTGCAAATCTAAAGTGAATTCATTCACAAAGACTGGCGGTACTACAGTTTTCCCTGTAATGTAAAACTGCTGAGCACAACGGCTTGCACAATGGTTACATTTCAAGGGTCTTAGGGACATTTCAAAATACATCATCATTACATTCACCAACATATATACGGCCAAGTACATACAGAACAATGCCCTGTGGGGTGTGAGTGCGTGTTGTACAATAAGTACGTGACTAACCATTAGGGAAACGCAGATAGAAAGCAAATGTGACACCATTACCTATAATCCAAAATGGCTTTTTGGCCGTTTTTGTATCTTCCTTTGTGAAGTCTCTGCTACCCTGGTTCGTCCATTGAGGATGGCTTTGTCTTTTTATATACACTAGATACCATCCTTTATCAGATATATGATTTGTAAATATTTTCTTTCAGGTTATGAACTTTGTATCTATTTTCTTAATGGTGTCTTTTAGTGAGCAGAAATTCTAATTCTTATAGTCCATAAGCTATTTTCTTTTATGGTTATTTGTTTTTCTGCCCTGTCCTTAGTGCTTATGTTTACACCTATGAGACCATTCAAATAAATTTCTGTGCACAAGTAAGGTAGCAGTTAAGTCTTCCTAACTACTTAAAACTCAGCCTTTCTAGATATTACCAGGAGTAGCTATAGCTTCCTCAGATCATAAGAGAAAATCATTCCTATTACTTAATAACTATACAACATTAAAATTTCCCACTTTTCAATAACTGGTTCAGCTG